GTTTGGTTAAAATTTACAAAAACAAGTAAAACCAATAAATATGCAATGTATTTTCGTCTGTAAATAAAGCAAACAGTGAAGGGAGCACACAGAATTTGAAGATCGAAAATGAGTTGTAACAAACAACAGAGCAGCCACCATGCTTGCCATCTTGGGTCCTACTTACTCCCTCCATTTATTTTCATCTTTATTCTTATTTCTGTTTTATGATCCTTTTCTAATAACTGATTTATTTTAATATCCTTTTCATCTTTTGGTATATAACTACCACAAAAGAAAAATTGAGTGACGTAAAAATACAAAACACAAATTTAAAACACTAGAAGAGGGATAGAAAGGAATAAAATGGGAAAGAAAACTGAACTTTTTGAATGTTTCATATCTAACATACTAATCGTTATGAAAATGATATGAAATGAAAAAATGTGTTTGAGAAAAGTCAAATTTTATATCCAATTGATCCATAAGAGATATTGTCAAAAGTTGATTTATATTGAAAATGATATATTTTATTCAAATTAAAACTTCTGACTAATTATAACTTTTGTTTTTGTTTCTTAATTATCTTTTATGGCAAGTGAGGTGAAACAAGAACGAATCATTAAGATACATGCAATGAATCCAATAAACTAAACATTAGATGCATGAATTTTATTTACTTTTCCCTATTATCATCCTTTTGATTCTCTTGTCAGTCTGAATTATATCTTTGCTTAGACTTCATTACAAAGCTGGATAAAAAAATCGACAAAAGTATATGTCCCCATATATTCTTATCTTTATCACCAAGAAAATATATACTACTACTTTATAGCTTTATCTATGACACATTGTTTGATTAATTAATTTAAACTAATAAGAGTTCCTAGATTAATTAATGCATATGGTTGAATACAATTTCTATGGATTTGGTGGAAATCCGCGGTTGTAGATTTGTGGTACCTAATAACCAGTTCGTTTAATCAACCATTATTGGATGTTAAAAAAAAACATAATTAAGCGTAAAAATGTGAAGCTTTTTAACAAAAAAAAATAAGCGTAAAAATGTGAACAAAAAAAAAGAGTAGAGTTAATGAAATTTAGACATAATATATACTTGTTAATATAAATTAATCAACAAATAATAATTTAAATAACCAAATAAGGGCTGAAACATATAAAGTTTATTTTTAACTATTGTAAACGGTTTAAATTTCAAAAATGTTCAACGTTTAATAAATCAGAATGAAATTAGTTTATCTTTCTTTACAAAATTACTTAGGTGATAACTGATTAGA